ACCACGTCAAGGCAGCAACAACGGTTGGGATTGAGAAGTGCTAAACTAAGACGAAACACATGTTGGATCTTTCATGGTTTTCATTCTTTCACATAGTATCAGTTTATAGTGAAAGCGATCTTCGAATACATCCATTGTGATTTCTAAGTATTTTATACTTTAATTTTACATAAAAGACCAATTTTTACAATTGTTTTTATATCTCGCTTCTTGAATTGATACAAGTGGATACTTTTGTTACGAAACGAATTTTCGGAATGGTGAAACTATGAGTAGAGTCTTAAGCTTCTGTTATTTAATGGTATTATTTCACATTATTTGAAAGATTGTGGTTGAGTAATCCTACTGCTACTTTGATGTGATGGTCCGGTTTGTATGACTTGATTTTACTCAAACGAGTTAAATCGTCTCGAAAATTAAATACTTCATGTTCGACCATATCAGCCAAATTGATAGGATAGAGAGTAGTAAAAACTAAAAGCTGTACACTCATAGTCTGAGTCCGAAGTCATACGGCTGACTGCATAGGGTTGTGACAGGATTAGGGCGTTTCAAATAACCAGCATATGCAGTGATGCTGCCTTCTGACAACACAAGAAGGTGGTTAGAAAACATCCATCCTAAAAGCAGCGTACATCACCCCATGAATTTCTGTCATCAATAATAAGGCTTTGAAAGTACAGAGCTAACTCATCTAAAACTACTCGGAATAAAGCCATGTGTGTCCGACCTCAAGCGGTCGCCCCTTCGGCACTCAAGTCAAGCTCCCAACTCGTCAGAATTGCTCATAACCTAGTTTCTTCTACGGGAACCTCAAGAAGTATCCTTCCAACCTGAGGATGTCAATCGTCCTCATAAATCTAACAGTAAATCTTTTTTATAAGTTTGTACTAATTATTAAACTTTACTTGGACATAATGTCCTAGTTTTATCAGAATCCGAAAATTTTTTTCACTGTTTCAGTTACTTTAGCATAAGAAAGGTCCCAACTTGAAATGTGTCAATTATCTAAATAATTGGTACTATAACGGGACTCAAGCAATATAGAATTTGACACTTGTATCTGAATGGGGATTTGTGGAGATTGTAGTTATTTTAACAGTTGAATTCATGAGACAATCTAAGCTAGACCACCTTTAAAAACAAAATAGCTATCTAGTGACTCCAGGTTTTCAATGTTCGTCTAGCTTAAACCGACTCGCAAATTCACCTCTGTATCTCTTTAAATCCAAGTCTTCACAACAATAAAAATACAAAAATCAACAAAAAATCATTAAAATAAAGAGATTGAATGATTAAGGTAATAGGATGTTCAAAAGTCAAAACACAAACTCAACCACAACACTAATAGTAATAAATGCAGCAGTTATATATTTGCTACACTTAAACGTTTTTCAATTACAACTTACTTATAATCTTGAAGTTTTCTGCAATCTAAGCCCATAATTATGCCAGAAAGTGTTGAGTTTGTTTTATATCTTTAAATTATTATTCACACTTTACCACCTTTCTAATCGTCCTGTGGTTAACCCATAAATTTTAACTATTCCATTCTTTTTATTACAGTGTTCCTTCATTTATAATTTTTATTATTTCCAGTTGCTTCTTCTAGAAATATTAAATATTAATTTTCTTTAATTATTAATTCCCCATGTTGTGGTGTCGGATATTGATCGAAATATTTAGTCAGCAATTATTTTATTTGATGTGTACTATTAACAGCATAATCCCTCCATCCCATATATTTCACCATTCTTTCATGAAAGATAAAATGATCCACGTCTTTTCCTTTATTAAACAAGGATATTTTTGTAATTTACTAAATTTTGTCTAACTAAATCCATAGAGTAAAGAATAAAAGTAGCTTGTAACGAAGTCAAAAGATTCCTTTTGTCTAGACACATTTATTATTATCCTTCTCATCTATCAATCCTTATCCACTTGTCTATCTACTTATAGCACAGCAATCATCAACACAATAACACTTGAATAAAATCAACCTGTCTCTCTCTATCACACACACACACGGAAACATGAAATGAATTTGTACTATAACCTGCTTTTTTCAGTTTATTATATTGTCTGGTATTTTTGATTGTTATAATCTATGATTTGTAATACCTATTAAGTAATTACCTGTCTTTGTACTGTAAAAACAAATGTGTAAATGAATTTTTATTGATAAATTATTTCAGTGTAAATCATGTTTACTCATACGTCGTCGTTCAGTGAATAGGACTGTGAACGATCGATTTATGTATTTAACATTCAGTCATTTTGACACACAAATACAAAATTTACTTTAATTTAGCTTTAATTAACCCCGGTGATGATCATTATCTCTTAGAAAAAGTGTTTGACCCTCATACCTGAGTAGAGAAAAACCTATTTATCAGTTGGCATTTAATACCATTATTCATATTTGAATATGAAAACTGCATTATATCAATGAATTTATTTTCTGTTGTTTGTTTGTTATTTTGAAGTTAATATGTATTACAACTCGATATTAGATGGAATGTCGTTGAAAACTAAGAAACACTAAACAACTGTTTCCTTATATTCCAGAACTCCTCAGTTGTACACACTACCCATTCCAAAACGTTTAGAAGTTCTCGGGGAAAAACATCACGTTGCTTCATAACAAGTTACAATCTTCCATATCTCGGCATGTTTAAAGAATGATTCAGATGCTTCTCACAGTAGACTAATATCGATTTCTTTAACGAACTAAGGGGAATTATTAAAGATTGTTTTTCATAACTTACTATTGATCTAACTATGTTAATGTGTTGATTCTACTTTTAAGAAAGAGAATAAATCTTTTAATGTGAACTACATAAGTATTTTGGTAGTCGTAGTAGTATGGAATTTATTGTAACTTGTTTTCGTTCACTGTGGGAAGGAGAGATACATTAAAAAGTGATGTAGAAAGGAATCAAATTATTCACTATGATAACTATAATAATACTATCTATTTTCGTAAAACCGAAAGTGTAAGTAGAATAGAAGTAAAATATACATTTTCATCACTTTGTAGCATAGTTACGATTGTGTTTATATCATACTTGGTGTTTATGTAAACAGAAGACTTCCAAGTCAGTCAGTTAGTTAGTTTTTGTATCATGTAAGCTGCCGTAAAGTTTATTTTTTGTCATTTTTGATCTTTAAGAAATGTTCTATTTTATGGTGCTTCCTACAGCTCTTCATTTCCCACTGCTACTCTCATATTTGTAGCTTTATTAACTAATACTGCGCAGTAAGGCATACATTTATACGACGTTATCGTTATTATTATTGTCATTACTGGCAACCATCAATTTTTATAGTCTACATCACTAACTAACCTTGGTCAGACAACCAACGTAAATGAAGAAGCATGTGTCTTAATGTATTATTCGCTCCCCACGTGACCTGACGTCCTGATTTTAATCTCTGCTAGTGTAATCGTGAACACGAACTCGTGAGGAGTCCCCAATCAAGACGAAACAACTATCTAGTGCCTTATTGGTTTCACCAGTTGTTTAACCAAAGTCAGTTTGTAATGTGAATTACAGCATTCAACAATCATTGTAAACCCCTTACACTGGTCAATAATTTTTATCTAGTTAGACCAATAACTACATTGAGCCTATCTATTTATGTAGTCGTAATGAAAAATGATTCCTCAAATTCTTTATCATAACAAACAACACACATGGATCGATGTTATTTTCACATATGTATATATACTTGCAACAATCGTATCACCTATCTCTCCCGTCTCTCTTACAGACAGACGTATATTTGTATCAATATTAGCATACATACAATACACATCCAAAATGTAATTCTATTCAATAGTATTGATTTAGACAGTGAAAAACTTTTTGTTTTCACTTGAACACACGCACACACAGTTTATTTTGATTCAACTGGTGTAACTCCCATTTTGATGATCTCACTTCAGTTACACTATATGTGTGGGAACATTATGTGAAAATGATGAATCATTGCTAATGTCTTGTATTATTGTTGCGCATTTCTGCCAAATTCTTTGTTTTGGTCGTCTGCTGGCAATAATATTGATAACAACGATGATTATGACATTCTGCATGTGTTATATAGGCATTTCAACATTAGCTTAAAACTCCGTCATCATTATCATCCATAAAGACAACGATAATGCAACAATTCTATTGCCTCATTACTGAACTTGATAAATTTGGCATAGATTTATTCATATTTTATTCAAAAACGAACGTTTCGTTTTTATGAGATTTCTTTTTTATATATATATCCTGTTTTGTTTTCGTGTATAAATATAAATTTTCATTTCATTCTGTCGGTTTATGATATATATAGTGATGCTAACTCTGTTTTTATATTTGGCATAGGCAAAGTTCCGTTGATTACTAATTTAGCAACTCAGTGATTGCTGATTTCTAACAGTTATTAGAATTTTGTATTAAATTTGATCAGTCTTCCAGTGACTCATCATTATGTATCATGAAGAACTAATATTAATCAATATGCTCTACATCCCAGCTCACATTTTTATTCAGAATCCGAAATTTTCGTATGAAGTACATTAATTTTTATTAGCTGCCTATAAATGGACACAAATTTTATTATGGTACTTTATAAAGTATTTGCATTTCTACGACAGTCTAATAAGCATATTACCAGTAAACTTTTCAATCTGTTCGTAACTACACCTTGAATAAACTTTGGATGAAATAAGGTGACATTACGCTTTATCACTTATTCGAGGTCTTTTTATTTTTATTTTTTTTCATTTTTCGTAACCTAATGTAATAACACAAAGAAACCGCTTTGACTTCTGTCACAAATTGACGTGTTGACGCAGAAAATTGTATCACATCAAATATTTTACACAATCAGTGTAAACATCTACTTACATGATCATACGATCAGTGTTATTGTTTTCATACTTTATGTGCACTTTTCTAGTATGTATTCAGTGATTTATTCTATTGGTTTTTTCTTCTTTATTCCAGATTATCACCAGATATGGATTTACTCATTGAAGTACGTTGCCAACTAGAGAAATTATTTGAAATATTTCGAGTTGTTCAGCTATGTGATTCGGAACAACAACAGAGTGACAACAATTATGCAAATGATTCTGATTTATCTAGTCGCTTCTTAGTTCATCGTCCACCTCCATCTGGATGGTCTACTTCTGCACGAGTGATTGAAGCAGAAAATAACCCGAATTCCTTTGGTGTTACTGATTCAACAAAATGTAAGCACAATTCTCTACTATTATCATCTACGTTAGATTGGAATTGTCTAACTGGGGAATTTAGTTGGCCAATTTTACCAGAACCATTAAGTTTACCACCAGCCGAATATGTTCTACTTACACCAACTGCTTATTGGCCTAGAACTTTATCCAGTATCATCAAACGTTCGTGTTCAATGTCGTCATCAACATCGTTACCATCTACAACAACTAGTAACAATAGTAATTCTGGTAATCTGGAATCTCATTTAGCTGCAGGACTGTTGAAATTATGGTTGCGTGAATTAAGTCAACCTCTTATTCCAGTTGAACTACAACCGATATGTTTGAAAGCTGCTTGTGAAGCGGAAGTTTATGAATTACAAGATAAAGATTCAATAACTGGTAATAATTTATCATCGGATTTAAATCCCATTCAGAAATGTTGTCGATTGGTTAGATGCTTAAATCCATTACCAAGAAGATCACTATTATATTTAATCCTACTTCTACAAGTAAATGTTTTGAGTTTTTGTACTAGTATACCAAGAGTTTCGAGTTGTTTTGAAATTGTAGTTTAAGATTTTGGATTTTAACAATGAAAACGTAATATTCCAAAAAGGTTACTGTCTTTACAGGTATATAATCATCATATAGTCAGATTTTATGCATCCATTTAAAGGAGCTATTTAATTCCCTCAACTATTACGCCCTAAAGTGGGAAGAATTCTGATGTCGTTCTCGAGGTTTTACTTTAACGGGAATATCCGAATATTAATGATTATTTGATGCTATGACTACTAGTTACTGCAAAATATTGTTCCTATTTAAATTACACGTTGAATTTCAGTAAATGGAATATAACCATTGAGATTGAAAAACGTTGATTTTGAGCCAATGAATGTAGAACAATCAATGAGGTTACAGTTTTACATTACTGATCGGTATTTTTGAAATCTTAAATTTGAGCTTTTGAACATAATAAACTGTTACTCAAGGATAATAGATCAATGCCAATGACTGAAAATCGCTTACCACCCAGTAAATTGACTGATATAACAGAAACATCATTAGCACGATGTACTAATCACGTGAGCTTAGTAGATATTTGGATACATATGCTTCTGTGCATCAGTGTCACGATTTTACCAGCTGGTAACTTGTTATCATTAATAAACCATGTAGTTTTGCAAACTTCCGGAATATAAGATTTTGTATGTAAAATTGTAGAGTAAGGTGTAAAACTTCATTCTATATTTTTCGTATTTTACTTACGCCTGTTACCTATCGTGGAGCATGGGCCACTGACCAGGATTTTTCAACCTATTCTGTCCTTGGCTCTCATTTCCCAGTTTTTCCCAAGTGTTTTTCATGTCTGCCTCCATTCCCGGAGCAATTTATTCCTTCGTCTGTCTCATTTCCTCTCGCTTTGAGAATTACAAGTTGGGGTTTGCTTTGTTATGTGATAGCTAATTATAAATATTTATACTCTTTTGATGATAGCTGTAATAGTTTTGAAAATTTCAGCTCTATAAAGTAGGACTGTCTTGACGTTAGTATTCTGACTTTGGTGTTGACTGACATTTGTTCGTATTTCACTAAACACTAAATTTTCTATCTTAATTTATTCTTATCTCATAATAAGCTGTAAATTTGTTCGATTCATTATGTGAAGTTTGATTTGATAATATTTGTTCGTTTTGTTTTCCACTCGGTGTTAACCTTAATTTTCTTTTCATATAAAATAGTGAAAAGGATTATGAGTCACTTCTCCATATAAATTATTCACGAAAAACAATATGCCAATATTTATTCAGTTTTATCATTTTCATTTGTTTTTCTAATATCAATTTCTACTTCTTTTTTTCTGCCTCGACTGTTTTCTAATTCTATCTACGCTAGTTATCTGGTTGGTTAGTTATTTAGAGATGAACAAAATACTACTACTCCAAGTTAAATGTTTATAATGAATTCCTAATTAATAGTGAAATTAATTTATCTAATGTTCATTGCATGAATAGATAGAACCATTCACATAATATCCTTTATATTGGCTAGAACTTACCTTTCCGATAGAAAAATAACAACTGACATTAACGACTGTATTAAGATGAAATATTAAACCAGAAGTTAAATGTAAACTAAAATTGTTTGATTTGTCAGTAGGAAATATTGTTTGATATTGAATTAGGCTGAAGAAAAAACTCGATAAAAGTATAGGGTAGGAATGAGCTTGGGACTACGTTATTTTGAAGCCAGTGGGCAAAGAGTCTGTATGGATGAAAGTATTTCAAAACAGATATTATGAAACCTAAGAAAGTCTAGCGGTTTTTTTGAAGAACCTTATGGAGCACCTTGTGCAATGAAAGCTAAACGCTGGGTGTGCTATTGACTACTTAAACCTACCTAACATCTCAACACAGTGCATGCGATTTCGAGTCACTTAGAGCCATAGGCACATGGTAATTTGACTGATAATACTCGATCAAAACTAAGGACTAGATAAAATATATGGCACTGGTCGTTAGTAATCAGTCATTAATTAATGTTATTAAATGGTGCTTGATGCGATAATGGATATATATAGTGTTTAGTTATTCGTTCAAATAAGTGTTAATCACTTTCATATAAATGAAGCTTCATTATTCTATCCAAACATTAATTCATCTGCCTTTTACTTCACTGTGATATTCTTATAGGATATAGACAGTTCCTGAAAACTATTTTATCATCCCTGCTGTGTTGTGTATTATCACTTGAACAATAAACTGTTCATGTTAATTTTTCATTTTAGCAATCCACAATATCTTTTTTTTCAAATTCAGTCAACATACATGGAACTATTGATCTTTACTAGCCTGTTTTTCATATTGTTGAATGACCTAATAATTCACATGCTGTGAATAAAAATTTTTTCTGCTGTTATTTTGACCACCTTGTTTTATATACATTTCGGTAATAAATTGTTTTTTTTTTGGTATTCACAACAATGTTGCTGATTATAATTTAATCAGTGGGGTAAATTGAATGATTTATATAAGTTTTTTATCTGTTTTTTTGTCACTTCCGATGTAAAATCTTAAAAATCCACTCACTTTTGTATGTTCATATATTATCATAAATATTCTTGATCGTTATGCATTCATCATTGAACAGGATGAGTCGACCAGGATGTTTCATACACATAGTTCCCTTTATTATCTTAAACAGAACAAGAACGAATATTGATGCAGAATAATATGAATTCATTTCATTTCGTTAGGTTCTCGTCAGCTGCTTACAACCTAAAATATTTGAAAATCAACGTTATTACAAATATTGACATACTTATCTATAAGAGGGTGATTAAAGATGAATATCATGATGTAGTGAAGATTCCAATAGAGTTAATGAGGTCATAAAAATTTTGTTTCGAATAAATGTACTTTGGGAGGGAATGTTCTAAAACATTGAAATAGTGATTAGAACTCATGGAGTTAACAAACATTAGGTGATTGTGTGATTAAGCAACTGAAAATAGATTAATGGTAATAAGGAAAGATGAGAACCTAATGAAATCACATTATTCCGACTAAGATATGTCGATTGAACTGTGGATTAACTGGTTCAGATTATCAACAGAAATCGAATTTATGGAGCTTATAAAAATTAGTTTTAGATTCAGTCCTGTCAAACTATTTAGAAAACCACTCTGAAACAACTATGCACAAATATTTATCCTAACCAAAGCATAACCACATATATCAGCCTGATAAAAGGAAATTCACAAAATCAAATGGCACTGTCCTAAATCTAATTAGTTCAACTATAAAATATACTTCCATCCAGACTGCCAATGCGTCTTTAGTTATGCATATAACTAAGTCAAATAGCTCATTTGCAACTATCAATTTGTTGATTTCGGGCTGAAGTTATGAGTTCACCTACCATTCCTGGTGTAGGTGAAGATTGAGTGTCCAAATCCGCAAGTTAGTCAGTTAAGTATTTATTTATTTGTTTTATTACCAATATTTTGTTCCCATTCGCTAAAAGCATTTATATTTTCATCATTTTGTTTCTCCCATAATCTTTTGTTGTTGTTTATCTTTCACCTACTTGCTGGCAACATACAGCATCTATCGAAGCCAGTTCACTCAAATCAGTCATTAATGGATGCGCGTAATTTATCCACTGTGATTGCACCAAACGTAATGCGTTCATCAACTAGTAAAGATCCCCGTGAATTGCTACAGAATGTTAAACCACAAACATTATTCATTCGTCTCTTAATCACTTATTTGGATATTGAAGTTGAACTAAAATATTTGAGAGAAGAAGAGGAAGAAGCTCGTAATGTAAGTGGGGAAGACGGTGAATTGAAGGAGAAAACGATCTCAGACACAAATATTGATGGCACTGATACTGGAGTTAAACCAATACAATTTAATAATGAAAATAATAATACTGTATCATGTAATCATGACAAATTGTCGTTATCATCCAATGGTTATGTATATTTAACATCACCGGTACGTGTTAGACTTGGTCCTGACAATGGCTTCATACCTATATGAAATGTGATTTGACTATTCTATTTGCCTTTCTGTTTTGATACGTATTGGTTATGCATGTTTACACATGCATACGCATATATATGTATTCATCTATCCTTTTCTCCATGAAATAATGCAATCATTGGTCTTAATAATATCTTGCTATATATGCACATTCAGTCTTTCTCCTTGTATCATGCACAATCAGGCTGAACAAAATTTATGGTTTGGATTTGTTCGTTTATTTTCTCTTCATTGAATATCTATTCACCACTAATCTCTTTTCATTTTATATCACTTATCTTTCTGTTCCTTCTCTCTGGGAATATTTTCTCCGATCGAGATAACAATCACCTTTTTCTAACAAATGCTGATAATTTGCTTACTGACTAGTCTGTCAGCATCAATATCCACAACCTCTCCTTTTTTGTTGTCGTCGTTGTTTTTTTTGTCTGTATCTCGGATTATTGATCGAGGTATTCATCAGAAAGTAAGTACATTTAAATAATGCGTTTACATTAATGTATCACAAGAAATTTTAGTGAGATGAGTTTTCCTGTTATTTGAGAGAGATGAACCTAATGGGCGTGTCACTTATATATCAGAATGGATATCACGATTCATCTTTTAAGAGGAAGTGAGTGCGCAAGAAGAATGTAAACTCTGATTAATTTTTTTCGAAAAACAACTGGATGTGATGTTCATTGAAACGTACAGATCAATATTAACATTAGTAATGTGTCGGTTTACTTGCAGACACACACAGATTGAAATATTTCAACTCACATTTTAAAAACAAGCATATAAACTTACCTTCATTCTTTACTTTTTACTTTGTGTTTATATCAAACGATTAACCTGAACAAAAAGTTTATTATCGTCCTTGTGTTGTACAGTTTATCTCTTATTATCAAGACATTTATTGTAATGCTATAATTACATATGATTACAGTGATCTTTCATATATTACAATAGTTTTTGTTTTTTTATAAAAATAGGGAGGTAATTGAAATGATATTACTATTGTTGCTATTATGTTTTCAAGCAATATACACGTGTATTACATGTGTAACTATTAAAATTATAGAGTTTGAAAAATGTACTATACTAACGATTCTTTTCATTATCGTTTTACGTTATTATAACTGCAATGTTGAGTTGAAAGATTACATCTCATTGTTGACTACCTGTTTTGTTCTCATTTGTGTGCACATTAGTTGTGTTTCATCATTTTTATGTGTTGAATTATGGGTATTAAGAGTGTAATGAATATTTGGATAGATTTTACAGCTTACTAGTTTAACTACTTACAATCACACAAGTAGACCAATGTTTCATCCCATCTAAGTTTAAATTGAAGTGTCACCTTACTGAAACCAAAAATATTATTCTTATATTTAATGTACAATATGTCAATGTAGTAAAACACTTCTTTTTCAATTGTAAATATTACCTTTTCTTACCTAAATTATGACTTATTTCAAGTTTATTAGCCGATATATATATATAGTATTCTTTTGTTCACTGCAATCATTTCATCTATGCTTTGTTTAGATCTATTTATCATCTTTGAAATAAAATTATTTGTTGCAAATGTTCTTCAGAATTCTATTTCACACTGAATTGTTTTTACGTTTATTTCTTTGTAATACAATTATATATCCATATTATTATCATTATTACCATTGTTACATACATTTATTATCATGTGAATGCAATTTTTTTAATGATTGTCATAATGACATTATATTGTATTTTGAATTGTTTGTATATCTCTTTTTTCTCACTTTCTTTGTGCTTTCTTATGGCCTTCCTTCATTTATGCATTTCTCATTCTTTGTATTTCGACTGATACTTTTTTGTAAAAGAAGGTAGAAATTCGGTTCAAGTACTCATCGCGTTTTTCTCTCAACAGTGCACAGAATAGGGTTTTTAGATTCATTTAAATAAAATCGAAACTTAAGCTTCTTACCGTTAACTTTTGTGGATGGATATTTAGTGAGTCAAGTAGTTCAGTTATAGTTTGTAGATATTACATTTTACGTTTACTGATGGTAATTCATAGTTACGAACGATTAGAGTATTCGCTTAACTGAACCTACATAAACTCGATGGGCCCCATGGCTGACACACAGCACTTCAATGATAATCATCAACGTTGATGATGCACATAGAAATTCTAGGGACTAAGAAAGTGTTTAATATTTAAGAAATCCTCGCAGCAGTACACTCCAAGTGTAAAATGAATAAGACATGTATAACCTCGGTTTTATATGCTCAACCAAATCAACAATGCTTCGTAATTAAAAGGTTCTATACCGTTAAGTATCCCCATGTCTGTCACAATGATTAGTCGTTTTCTTGAAATCCCATAATAAGATTCACTTTTTCTTTGAGTATTGAGACTAATTAAACAAGCGATTCATCATTAACTAAATAAAACTGCATATAACATTTGTTGAATATGAAGTAAATTGTTTTCATTCAGTCGGTAAGGTTCAATAATCGTACATAAATTTTCTAATAAACCTAACAGTATTTGATTTGAATAACTGGTTCGTCTTTATCTGAATTACTGAAACCATAAGCTGAGCACTACGGACGAAACATATGACACTTTGTTAGCATTTTTTACTCATTTGCTTTAACTCAGTCCTGTTTGCGCTTTTTTTTAAGACAGTGGATTCATGCACATGGTAAGTTTCCCATCCTTAAGCTTTATACGCTGGCCTTGTCCAATGCTTCCAAAACTTTATTTTCAGATATGTCTGAAATAGAAATTATTCCTATTCACAATGCATATTTTAGTTTATTTATATTCCCCTTTACCAGTTTGAATTCTAATGTACTTGAGCTCAGTGTTCTACAAAATGACAGACAAGTAGAGATACATACCCCTAATGTAATGTATCATTTTCAACTGCCTAACTTTAGCATCGCGATGCATGAAATTGGATCAATAAATTGAGTTAGTTAACAGATAAAACCAATTGGACCAGACAATATCTGTAACATTTAAGTTGCAGAAAAGCTGTTCAAGTAGGCTCCTAGCATATGGACTCTACACAACGTCAATTACCAATGATCTAATTTTATATATTTATATTTTGACGAAACACTAACTATCATTTTTGTTTCACAAAGATTGATTGAATTTCCAAATATGTAATCAGACTTCTCACAATATAAAAGACTGATCTACACAAGACTTGTTTGAGACATTTGTGTTTATATGTACACCGTAAATATATGATCCTATTGTGCTTTATTCTTAAACATTTTAGAATAAATTAATTTACATATAAGCTTATCAGGTGGCTTATTTCACATGAAATATCTTGCTCAATTGTATAATTGGAAAACTACAAAATTTATTCCGTATATATATATATATATATATATATGATTCAGTCGCACACTCCCCTGTTCACCACAACCCCATGTATTCAGTATTATTCGAACTTTATGCAAACTATTGTGAAAAAATGACTTATGAAGACTGTGTTCGTCATCGTATAGGATGAAATGCATCATGTTCACTACAGGTCATCCATAGGACGTAATCAATTATGAGCCTGAAGTCTTTTTGCTGATCTGTGTAATCAGCCTTGATGAAATTATCCTATTGTACATGCTCATATTTTGTTTGTTATTTTCATTGTTGGTGTTTGTAAATTCCTTTTTATTCTACTCGTTTAAACTCTACGTATTGTGGATATTTCGGGCTAGCACTGGAGGGATTATAATAGAAGAACTTCACTTACAAGTTACTGGAATGTTTTTATAAGTATGTGACTTCGTGTTCAAGTGTTGATGTTTGCAATGCAATGCAGGGTTACCCAGCTAAGCAGTCCCAAATATGGATAAAAGTGAAAAATGTGCACCTGAAAGTGGTATACAGTTTTACAGCTGACTCGTTTATCATGACACTGGTGAGGTTTGCCGGTAGAAGCGATATTCCAAGGGAAATTAAATCTTGTGGCAGCTAAACGCAGATAGAAGTAATGCCATGAGAGTTGGACTGTAGAGTATATTCATACTGACTTGCACATGAACAGAATAGACTGGCGTTTCAATCATCTGGCTGTTAGTTTGGAATCTAATGATTCTCTGTTCGCAAGGTTTAAAGTTCCTCGAATATAAGCAGCCCTCAACATAAATGTGTTTTACAAGTCTCACAGTAGAAGCTCAACGTATTGTTAAAGACTAACCTTTAGTTCTTATTGCAGATGGCTTGAAGTGTTTTGAAGCAATAACGCCAGTGAAGCTGCTGTTTTTGAGAGAGAACGTAACAGGTTTCAGTGATACTTTATCAAGTAACAGAAATTCTAAAAGATAGAGGGAAGAGAAGTAATTGGCAAGGTTGTAGTGTCAGTTATTATGCCAAGCCCATATACCTTATTCTAGCTTTCGGACATCCCATTTTATTCATTCTGCTTGAGCTATACTTTGACCTTGTTATTTATTCGCTTATCAATCTAGACTGTTTTTATATGAGCGTATATGTGTGTGCCCTTCTTATTCCATTAATCACATGTCTGTAGCTTTATTTTATCTGACCATAAATATTGAGTAACGCTTGACAAAGATGGAGTTGGCTTCCCAGCCATTCTCCCTGTGCGTCATTTTGCTTGGCTCTGTTTCATTCACTTCATATACAAAATATATGTATTCACAAATCAATTCTCGTTATTCGAATTATTTAATTCCGTTATTGGATAACGCGATTTAAGTCGGCGATGATATACGAGAATAGGCGATAGCAAACATATTTTGTATGTAAAGTGAATGCGATAGAACAAAACGAAATGACGCGCAGGGAAGCCAACTCCCTGAGCGTCATTTCGTTTTGTTCTATCGCATTCACTTTACAAGGTTATCCAGAAAGCAGTAGCACAGAGAATATGTTTCTTAGTTTCAAATTAACTCGAACACAGAGTTATAGGAGGTAGCTTGGCAGCGATATGTGCCGAATTTTTCTAGAGAAATAAGCGGACTTTGGGTTCTGTATGGAGAGTGGC